ATCTTCGGTGCAAAGATGGTGGGCCAATTTATGGTTCTCAAGTACAAATGAAGCGATTAGAGATCGATTCACATTCTCTTTATACAATAGATTGGCCATTGGGGTATGTGTTTTGTAGGGTTGTGTCTTTACACAACAAACCATTCCGATTGATTGGAAAATTTCATGAAAAGCCATGAATGAAGAATGACATTAGGGAAGCAGTTTTTTTTTCCTTCAATAAACATACATATCTTTTCACCACCATTTTGGGGGATTTCACCCTCTTTCACAAATCATTTTGGAAAAATAAAATCTTGACCGTTGAAAATAAAGGCCATATATAACCGCAACGATTACAACCATCGGATTTTACCTTTTTTTTTCTATTAAAAAAAGTGACGTCATCACATGTAAAAAACAGGTTTGCAAATAAAATCTTGACCGTTCAAACAAAAATCCATATATAAGCGAAACAATTACAACCATCGGATTTTACTCTTTTTTTTCCTATAAAAAAAACGTGACGTCATCAAATCTAAAAAAGAGGTTTCCTATTATAAATAGATTTTTTTTTTTTTTAGTTTGTAGTTACAAATCATGTATTTGTACATTTAAAAGATTAATTGTGTTGTGACAAAAAAAAAAATTTTAAGGATCGAGATTTTCTAGAACGTAAAAATTATAGATCCATTGAATAGTTCGATAAGTAGAGTTTTCGACAATTATAATCGTCTTCGAGATTAGTCGGATAGTAAAAAATCAGAATTTTTTTTTATTTTAAAAAGAACTTATTTCTAATTACGTTCTCTTCAAATCCAGTTTATAAAATTCATTTTGGGCCTGTGAACAAATGCAGTAATGACAATGGGCTTGGGCTTCACTAAGACATATCTCGGCACTCTCGCTTCCTCGTCGTCTTCAATTGGTATCGGATCACTCACTGAATTTTTGCTGGCTTTCGACGTGTCGTTCCCCAGAATCAGTTTCCGACGAACCCGGTAACGTTCATCTCAATTCAATTCCTGACGCTCAGAGTTATCCTCTTTCGCCATTTGGAGCTCTCTCTATGAATTTTGGATTCTTGTTCGAATTTCGTGTCGGAATTTGTGTCGTACCGATTTACCATTTGGGGATTTTGTTTGTGTTCAGTTTCTCAATTTAGTATCGTTACCATTTTAAAGGTTTTTTATTCTCAGATCATTGCAAGACCATGGATCGAAACAGTTCAAGATATGAATCTCATTGTTTCTTTTCCTTTATCCGAGTTTCGATCTAGTTTGCATACACATTGCATGCCTACTTGTGCTCAAACACACACAGAGACGAATATGTTATATGTGTGTGTCTTCTTGTTCATTGTTCACGGGATTCATAAATCAAATTGTGAATTTTTTTAGATGGAGGAAGGAACGTCTGGTTCACGGAGAACGCGGTCTCAAGTTGCTCCGGACTGGACAGTTAAAGATTGTCTGATTCTTGTGAATGAGATCGCTGCGGTTGAAGCAGATTGTTCGAATGCTTTATCTACCTTCCAAAAATGGACGATGATCTCAGAGAACTGTAACGCTTTGGATGTACACAGAACTTTTAACCAATGCAGGAGGAAATGGGATTCATTGGTGTCTGATTACAACAAAATCAAGCAGTGGGAATCCCAGAAGCGAGGCCGTGATAGTTCGTATCAGTCCCTGAGTACTGAGAAGAGGGAGAAACTGAAACTCCCGGAGAATATCTATACCGAGCTTTTTGAAGCCATCAATGCGGTTGTGATGATCCAAGAGGGTAAAGCTGGGACTGAACCTGATAGTGACCCG